CTCCACAGCATGTCCCTCTACCGTCTCCTCCTGCGTCCTCTCTTCCTGACGTTCCTGACCCGCCGTCAAACCTTGCTCGTGCTGCCAGTCCTACTGTCACGCGTCTTCTCGCTACTGTTGTCACTGACCCTTCGTTTGAGTCCACTGCTGCGTCTGCCCTAGTTGCTGAGCTTGTTGACTTTGCTGCCGCCTTTCGTCTAGACTACGCTGCTAGTCTTGTTGCTGAGTCTGAGTCTGTCTGTCCTCCGTCCGTCGGGGGTGAGTGTGGAAGTCCACAGGCACTTACGTAGTCTAGAAGTCCACATGCACTTACGTTGACGAGGTTCCCCCACCTGGGGCGAACATCGTCAGTGGCATGTGGATTTTCAGGGTCAAGCGGCCGCCGGGTTCTCTGCCTGTCTTCAAGGCTCGTTACGTTGCACGTGGCTTCAGTCAGCGACAGGCAGTTGACTTCTTCCAGACCTTCTCCCCCACCCCGAAGATGACCACTCTTCGGGTTCTGTTGCACGTCGCCGCTGAGCGTGACTACGAGCTTCACTCTCTTGACTTGAGCACTGCTTTCCTACAGGGCAGCCTGCACGAGGAGATCTGGCTGCGCCGCCCACCGGGCTTCACTGGGTCGTTTCCTGCTGGTACCCAGTGGAGCCTCCAGCGGCCAGACTACGGTCTCCGCCAGGCGCCTCGTGAGTGGCACGACACACTGAGGACGACTCTTGCGGCTCTTGGGTTTGCACCTTCTACTGCTGACCTGTCGCTGTTTCTGCGCACCGACCCTTCTCTGCCGCGGTTCTACATCCTCGTGTACGTCGACGACTTGGTCTTTGCTACTGCCGACACTGAGGCGTTGACCCTTGTGAAGGCGGAGCTGCAGAAGAGACACACTTGCACTGACCTGGGTGAGCTGCGTAGCTATCTTGGCTTGCAGATCACCCGGGACAGAGCAAGGCGCACCATCACTGTGACTCAGTCACACATGGTGCAGCAGGTCCTTCAGCGCTTCGGCTTTGAGTACTCCTCGCCACAGGCCACTCCTCTGCCTACCGGTCACTCGCTCTCAGCTCTGCCTTCGGATGAGTCCGTAGAGCCGAGTGGGCCGTATCCAGAGCTTGTGGGCTACCTCATGTACCTGATGACCTGCACTCGACCTGACCTTTCTTACCCTCTTAGCATCCTGGCTCGCTACGTTGCGCCCGGGAGACACCGACCAGAGCACTGGAAGGCCGCTAAGAGGGTGATGCGCTACTTGTGCAGTACATCGGGCATGGGGCTTGTGCTTGGAGGACGGGCTCGAGTTGTCCTCACTGATCACGCAGACGCTTCTTGGGTTGACGACTTGGCTACGCAGCGGTCGTCACAGGGTTACACCTTCAGCCTTGGCTCCGGCTCTGTTTCGTGGCGGTCTACCCGCTCGTCTTCTGTTCTCAGCTCCAGTTGTGAGGCTGAGATCTACGCAGGGGCCATGGCTGCACAGGAGTTACGCTGGCTCACCTACCTGCTGACCGACTTGGGCGAGCCGCCTCGTTCTCCTCCAGTTCTGTACGTCGACAACAAGGCCATGATTGCCTTGTGTCAGGAGCACAGACTGGAGCACAGAACGAAGCACATCGCTCTGCGCTACTTCCTTGCTCGAGAGTTGCAGCAGCGTGGTCAGCTTCGTCTTGTCTACGTGGCCTCTCAGGCCAACACAGCTGATGTCTTCACCAAGGCACTCCAGCCTTGTGATCATCAGCGTTTCTGTACTGTTCTAGGCCTTGTGCCTACTTGGCCTCACTTGCTCACTTCTTGACTTTGCTTGTACTGTGATTTATATACTTATACCTGCATGCTTTTACTTGCTAGGTTTGATCACTGTACTGCTTGTTCTGCTTTTTATAACTCTGCATGTGAACTGGCCTTGTGGCCATTTGCTTGTGCTCAGAATGCGTGGTGATGTTGTGATCCACCCTGAGCTTGACCTTGTCTCGTTCACTTGCTTGTCCCCCACTTTGCCTATGGGGGTGTGTCAGAACTATGCATATATGCTCTAGGCTGTAGTGGGGCACTCCTTATGGGGTACAGCCCAAATTAGGTTTTGCCTGTACAAACCTTGTACTGCTCTCTTTCTAGTCATTCTTTCCTTCACATTTCTGACACAGGTTGCTCTCTCACCCCTACCCCCACCCCACCTGCTCGCCCCTCTCCAAAGCCCGCCTGCTCCCCTCGCCACTCCCAAACCAACCATAAAAATGTTACACTTTGTATCTATAATTCGTAATTCTGCGTAGAATCAAAGTTAAACACAATCAGCGTATTCTTAATGAACATTGAATTTTCAGAGTTTTTTTCCTAAGTAACACTGACTGTCAGCGCTTTTTTCCGTACCAAGGCAGATGGATCAGCCTGGTCCAAAACGAATCTAGGGGCCTGTTCCCACCCCTCCTGCTCCTCCGAATCCGCCTGCTCCTTACGTGACGGGTAATCAACCAGTCCTCACGCTGCTGCTGCCGGGCGTCTCCACGTTCGATGAATCCGTGTCAGTACCCGAGTCAGACAAGGCACCGACGCCACGTTGGAGTGAGCCCGAAAACTGCAAGTAGAACAAACAACCGTCGGCGCAGAGCATGATGTTGGCGTAGACGACATCGTTGAGTATTTATTGCTCGACGGCTTACCTAACTGCCGATTCCTACCTGCCCGCCACCTCACAGAAATCGTCCCCACCCCTCTATTGAGAATCGTGACTCCCGCCCCCTCTCTTCCAGGAACAAGCCGACGCAGAAAAAGCAACAAGTATATTAGTCGCAAAAGAAACTCAAGTGGCTTGTGCGTGTGGAGGTCGTGAAGGTGGCGAGCGAGGTGTCGCGAGAGTCGAGCATCCACCTCAAGCAGCAGGTGGGCGACGCGTTGCTCAAAGACGCACAAAAGCGTTTACATGGGCGGGGCTGATCCTCGTGGTATTGTGGCATGGAGCTCAATGTCTATGCCAACCTTATCGAATTTTTGCGCAAAGGTATTGCCATGCCTATCGGTAGACCACAAACATGGTCCCGGGAGCTGATGAAGGAGTTGCATCTGGAGGTGGCGTGGAAGGGTTCGAAACGATGGTCGGAGCGGTTTCAGGGACGGTGGAATTCGAGCGTCCGCGCCAAGACGAAAGTCGGGCATAAGCTTTCCAATCGTAAGTGACCTTCTGCCTTTAATTTCACCGCTATTGTTTACGGATTCGCTTGATTATGATGTTGTGTTTCCAAATTTGTTACTTATTCGTCCCTTCTGCCCGTTGTGCATTATTATCCACCCTCGTTTGAAGATTGTGAGGAGCATGTGAAAAGCTTCTGGCAGTTTCTGTGCAACAAGCGCCGCAAATACTGTTGGAATAACCGATGGTTATGATAACATTCCCGAAGGCTTCACTTAGCGCATCGTTTCATAACGAAACAACGCACCTGTACTACTATCGCGTTGCTCGTATAGAGCACACGGCAGCTCGAGAGTCACTCGAAGGTCAACAGTCGCAGATAGTTAACGGTCGTAACTGTTGACCGCCCAGTAACCATACTCAGATGTTACACGATGCAACTCAGTAACTGTCGAGTAGAGCAGTAGTCGCGGTTACTGTAGCAATGTAATGCAGTTAATAAGGGAATGTACCCCTCACAGTACATGGCTAGCTAGGATTGCTATTTATATCCTTGTACCCCTATCTTAAAAGCATCTTGTTCTCTTTCAACTATTGTTGACAAGTTCATTTCAAGACTTCATTGTCTTCTCACAACTTAGCAAAGTCTCATCATATCCACAACTTGTTATATCCGCGGTCTTATTATATCAACAAATGCGACATCGAGTCGCGATCGATAATCAACCATGACCAAACAATGTAGACCGCACCATCGACAAAATTGGTATTTATCAGTGCCTATCAGAAAAGGGGGATGCCAGAAAGAATGCGTTGCGGTTACGCCGATTGCTTTGTGTAACTCTTTCGTGACCACGGTGCGCTTTGAGTTGCAGATATAGTCGTGATGCTTCAGCCTAACGGGTGGGTGGACGTGGAAAGCGTTATCTGCTGGCTCGACAAGTGCGTGGAGCCGTTCATCAAGCCGATATTCGGAGTGTGCGCGCGGTTATGGTCCTCTATTTCGTATCGAGGACATCTCACGGCGGAGATATTTGATTCCAAATAGACATCGCCTTTTCGAGCCTCCTTTTTTCAGCTCACCCAGCTTATAGTGCATTTGGGTCTTTTATTTTTCCCAAGTCAGCAATAAATGAGGTCCCTATATTTGTTTGTTTTGCCAATCCAAAGTTGGTGGTAGATGTCTGCAAAGGAAAGAACAAGGTCGATTTAGGCACGTATCATAATTGCCGCCTTATAATTCTAAAAAATATCATCCACCTACCCTCGAGGGCTGTTTAGTGGCAAAGTAAAAAAAACGAGACCTTTTCAAATGACAAGCTCTTTGAGATGCATCATCATATTTACATTGCCTCATGATGTTTAGGGCGCGTGTGGTCGAGATCAAACTTCGCAAAAGTTCGAACTTCCACAATGGTTTTACACTGAAGGATGCATTTGAGAAATGCGTTTCCATGGAGCAAATCGGTTAGAGGTCGAACCGTGATATTTTAAAAAAATTCGCACGCACCCTTAGGGTTGATGCCGATTATATGGCATGCCATTCAAAAATGGTTTATACTTCTTGTCCCAAGGATCGGATGAAACAAAATGAAGGGTTATCGTGTGACAGAAAACAATATGTAAGTTTGGACTAAAAAAAGGGAAACATGTAAGTTTTCCTCCCAAAGGAATTTGGCAGCTGCCCCCACTAATCTATGTACTGTAAGGCCTAAACCCGCGGAAAAACCAGGCCGCAGGAAGCGGGGTCAAGTGCGAGGAGAGATAAAAACCACCTCCCAAATGAATAAAAAACGCTATATTAGTGCAGTTCGTCATTCCCTGATCCAAATCGTCTCCATTTCTACCTCCCTTCTCTCCTCCCAACCCACGACAGCACACCATGACGCTGGTGGAGCAACTGCAGAGTCTCTCCGCCCCCTTCTACCGCGCGCTATCCCGCGCGGCCCTGGGGAAGCGGTCGGTCCCCGCGCTGCTGCTGTTCGTGCTGGCGGTGGTGCTCTCGCTCGCCGTGTGGGCCGCGCCATGGCTCACCGCCCCCCCCGACATGCTATCGTCTCCCGGGTGCGTGCGGGGAAACGAGCCGCGCTGCCTGGCAGAGCTCGTCGCGGCGCTGGCATTAATATCTATACCCCAATGGCGGTTCGGGATAATGTGGTCGCACTGATTCATACGTCGCGCGGTTCCACGCAGGGCGACGCGGGGAGGGTCTAGTTACGTCGAAGCTCGTGGAATTAAGTCTTCGCACAGGCGTCCCTCGCAGTCGACTGCGCATTGCATGGTGTGCGGCGTTGTTGAGCAATGGGTGGACCCCTTATTTAGAACTAGTGCCACATCTCCTCGTCACCCCTATTGTAGGCGTTTCAGGAGAATTCAAAGCGAAAAAAAAAAAAGAAAAAAAAAAAACAACCGGTCCCCCACATTTCCGATTTTACGTCAGTTGCAGGACAAGTTTGCATTGACCCACTCGCGCACAACTGCGCCCATCTTCCTTCCAAACCTCCCACTCCCCTACGCCTCTCCGCCTTCCCCCTTCCCTTCTCCCATCCTGGCCCTTCATCTTCCGCCTCTTCCCGCTCCTGCCCCTCCCTCGCCCCCCAATCCCCCCGTTCCCCCGCTCCCCACGGCCGCAGCCCCACGTCCGCGGAGCTGTACGAGGCATGGGCGCAGCTCTTCGCGCTCGACTCGCCCCTCCCCCCGTCCACCATCACCATGCGCGCATCACTTCCCCCCCCGCCCCACCTGGAGGACTGCGCCGCGCGCACTGCCTTCCGCCTCGCCACCGAGCGCACAGGGGGGGGAGGGACGGGCGCGGAAGGGGAAAAGGGGGAGGAGGAGGTGGAGGGCGAAGCACCGGAGTGGGCGCGGGCGACTGCTGCATGTGGCAATGTGCCGCAGCCCCCATGGGTGAGACTCTGGCAGGCCTTCCCTTAATGTGTTGCGCTTGCTGTGCTGTGAGGCACACTGGGGCGCGCTGGGGCACAGTGGGGCACAGTGGGGCAGAGTGGGACAGAGTGGGGCAGACCGGGGCGTGCTGGGGCAGACTGAAACGGCATTTCTGTAGCGATCAAGTAGTGTAGGGGGTCCCGTGCAGGTCGATTCTGCCGTGTGTGTGTCATCGATCGAAACAGCTGCTGTGGGATCAGCCCTTGCCCGGCTCACCTCGTCCCTCCTCTCTAGCCATGCATCGAGTCCCTCCGTGTTGCTGCAACTGCAGCATCAATCGTTCTTATTCTTCCCCCATTTGCCCCCTCCTTTCTTCAGTAAGTTACTCCCCTTGCCCCGCCACTCCGTAATGCCCATCTCCCACCCCTATGATGCCTCCACTCCACTCCCACTCTCCATTGTTTTTCGTCTCCCCCTTTTCCCTGCTACCCCCTCTCCTGCTGCCTGTGTGCACGGCAGGTGAGGGGGGCGGACGCGGCGAATCTGGGGAGCACGCGGGAGGTGCAGAGGGACCTGTGGGCACACCAGTTCCCCCCCGGCCCGTGTGAGGGCCGCCGCCTGCTGCTCGTGCACTGGCCGCACCCAGACCTCCCTCCTGCAGATGCTGCCGTCACCACCAGCAGCGGCAGCAGCGGCAGTGGCGAGAGCAGTGGGAGTGGCAGCGCCAGCAGCAGCGGCGAAAGCGGTAACAACAGCAGCGACAGCAGCGGTGCAGGGAGTGGGCAAGGCGGCGACATCGGTGTTGTTAGGAGTGCAGTGAGTGCGAGGGTGGTGGCAGAGCTGGTGGCGGCGATGGCAGGGGCGCTGAGTGTGGCGGTGAGCAGCCAGCGCGTGCTGGTGCCCATGCCAGGCTCCTTCCTCCCCGCCAACCACTCCCACTGCCACGGTCAGTCCACCCCACACCACGCCACAGTATTTGCTGCTTCCCCCACCATTTTGTTTTTGTTTTTTTTTGTTTTGCACTTGAGAGTGTTTCCATGGCATGACCACCCCTTCCAGACCTTAGTTGGAATATACACTCAGACCCTAAAGCGTATAGCGTATATACGCTTGCGTTCATACGCAAAATGCTATACGCTAGCTAATACGCTATACGCTTTCAGATTTGTTTTGGGGCTGCCCGGGAAAAAACTCGTGTGTATACAGAAAGATGTGGAATCTCCTGGTGAGCATTTCGCTGAAGTCGAGATGCAATTCGGGGGTCTAGGGAAACGGGAATGTGCCTTACAATCGTGTCTGGCAGGCCAGATCTACAATTTTGATTAGTACCGCATTGAAACCCATCCCATCTACGAACTCCAACCTGTCAAAAACGTCCCCCCAACAAACCCCACTCACGCTACTTACCAGCCAGCCCAACTGCACTTGTCCTTTCCACTAGTTTACTTTCCCGCTTCCCAACAGAGCTCATCCCGATTCCTAGTTCTTCTAGCGATAGTGTCTACTACACATCCCACCCTAATCGCAGCTCAGACTTAGGAGAATGCTACGAATTCTTAGTGAGAATATGGAATACCTTCCCGATGTTGAGCACGACATTTTTTTCAACCTGCCCTGGAAAGTTTTTCCCCTGCTCGAAGTAGCGTATGTCCAAACGGACCCCTAAGCGGGTAGCGTATATACGATAGCGTATATACGATAGCGTATATACGATACGCGTATATACGATACGCGTATATACTCTAAACCCGTATATTCCAACTTAGTTCCAGACTGTCTTCTTGATGCGGCTGATTCAGCCTGATTTGTGGCTAAGCTGGGTGTGCATGAAGGTAAGGTGAGTCGCTTTCGTCGTTCACGTACTTTTGCGTTAGCGTTTCCTGGATGGACTGTTGTTGTTTGTTTGTTTGATTGATTGATATTTTTCCTTTCAAAGGATATTCACCACCGCTCTCCTCGCTAGCCGATTCAGAACAACCGTCGGTTATGTGTGTCATAGGCCAACTGAAGTTTATTGGTGTTAACTGACGTCCTACATTCAATTGAGACCAGTTTTGCCGGTTTGTTAAAACGCGTGGTAGATATGTCAGTCTCATATGTACGGCAGTTTCGAAGCAGATTCACCCCTTTTCTACAGCTGCGACAAATCGACAGGTTTGAAATTCATAAATAACTATTACTGTATTCAACAAATAGCAAATTGCGAAAAAGAAAGGAGGGTGGTTAGAAACGGAAAACAAAAGATGTGTGAACCGTTTTGCATAAAAACGGTTGACACTAGCGCCTTGGAGTGTGAATTCGCAACACTGAGCAGCCTTGCTACCCCCCAATGTGCTCCTTGCCCTTGTGCCACTTCCATGCTCTTCTCTTCTCGTCTACGAGAAACAACTTGCTTCTACGCCCCGCAATCCGTCCCGCTCCTCTCCTCCCAACCACACACATGCACACTCTTGCATCCTGAATTCCTCCCTCTCCCCAAACACGATTATCAGCTTGAACCTGTCCCATTCATGCCCTGTCCCCTTCCACAGCGGTGAATGAGTCGGGGTCGCTGCACTGCTACTTCTTCCGCTCCGTGTCGCCTGCATGTGAGGCAGCAGCCATGCAGCAGTACCGCGCTGCCGGCTCGCCCCCCTGCCGCCCGCTCTCCCACCTCGCCAATGCCGTTGCCTCCAACGACTCCCTTGTCTGTGCCCTCGCCACCCTCGACCCGTCCTCTCGCTCACACTCTGCTGCTGCGAGGTACGCCCATACACGAACCCTGGGAATGGGCAATTCATGGCCCTCTGCAAGCTTCTAATTTCATGCATGTTGTCAACTACCTTGTGGAAGAAATGTCTCCATCTCCCACCTTGGTTGCTTTGCATTCGTTTTGGAGGCGCCATGTACAAGGAGGGGGCGCATTCCTCTTTGTTAGGCATGAGCATACGGCCTGCCCAAGTTGGGATGACTTGACGAGACCCTGCCTTTTACTTGAGCCAATTAGTAGGTGCGAATCCCCTGATTTGGGGATGTTGGGTCGGCTTGTAGGGCTCGGGTCGGGTCGACCCGACCTGAATGCGGGTCGTCTAGGGAACTTGGTTAAGCGCTGACCTGCCCTTGCTGAAGGAGTGTGTGATTTGGGCTGAAGGTTGACGCTAGGGTTGGGTTTAGGTTGTATTCATGAGCTATGTGGAGAAAGACGCGTCCTGCGTCTAGGACGCTTGCGTCCAGACGCAGCGTCTTAGACGCAGGACGCTAGAGGAGGGCCTTTAGGACGCATGAAAAGACGCATGCCCGGGCAGGGCAAAAAAAACCCCCGGGCAGCCGAAAAATGATGTTATAGGGTATGGGAAGGGGGGGGGAACGACGATGCACACATTTGAGGCAAAATCGTCCCCTTCAAATTTTCAGGGTTTAGGGTTTACGAAGGAGAATTGTCTTGGTAAACCCTCTAGGGTGTTTTTGATGGTCGAAATGGGTTAGGGGGGGTCGACATGACTCGAAATTGACAGTCGCGTCGAAATCTTTAAGTCAATTTCGCGCTGGGACAAAAACGTTTTTTCCGGTCAGCCCGAAAAAAAAAAACGGGGTGCGTCCTGCGTCTCTGCGTCTGGACGCTGCGTCCAGACGCAGGACGCAGCAGGACGCGTGCGTCTTTCTCCACATAGTTCATGAGCTCTTCAATGACGAGGTCTGTCAACGGGTGTGCGCGGTTTGGGTTTTGTAGATTCACAGCGATGAAAAATGGTAATAAGTAACGGCAAGTTGGCTGAGAGCTTTTATTCCCATTAAAATGTTGAGTAGAGTGTTCGTGCAAAACATGGTTTGCACCTGTCAACCTACATGGTTTGGCTGGTGTGTAAGATGTACATTTTTTTGCTTTACATTTGAGCGTTTACGATTTGCGAATCGCCTCAACGATTCATGAGTTTTGCACGTTCTAGTGGGAGGTTTCATCAATGAATGTGCGTTAAGTTCGAGTTTTCATGAATTTTTGTGGAAGTTGGCCAACGGTTTTCATGGCGTTTTAGTGTTTTCCTACCATCTAGTGTTTTCTTGGTTAGTGCTTTAGTCGATCTATAAATTGTGTGCTGTGTTCGATCGTTATCTTTTTTTTTTTCATGAGTGGGGATTCAATAGTTCACGTTTTGATGCAAATAGCAACTCTGCATACCATCCTCTTCGTTGTCAGAACGTTGCGTTAAGGAGTGTGAGGGTGTCTAATGCACACAATTCACTTCACACTTAGAAGTTCTTTCACAAAGCACGGACCCTTGGTTAGGGGTTGTCCTACGAGGCACCTGAAGACCCTTGAAGGTGGCCTCGTGGAGACTATCTACTGTGGGTTAATTGCTATGCTTAGCTTTCTAGATCCCACAGTTGTCAACATGGAGGAGTGCATGGTTTTGCCTGAAGCACGATGTGAGCGCTGTCAATGATACAAATGATTGGCATGCTGATATGTGCGGATCGACTGGAAAGATTGCCGATCGTGCAGATCCATCGGCAAAAATGCTGAGAGCAGGTATTAGAACCGGCCCGTCCCCATACCGCCACCCCTGAAGGGGCGTTTCGGGTCAAGAACAACCCGATGCGCAACCTTACTCAATCGGGATGACATTGTAGAGGCGTTGGTGAACATTTTTTTCCAAAATCAACGCAGGAAAATGCGAGGTGGCAGCGGCTGTTTAGAATGAGTGGATGCCGAGATCACAAAGGGAGAGCAAAAACAAAGCGAAGGTGATCCGCACCGACAATGGAGAGGAGTTCATCGGCTCTGATTTTGTGGGGGAGTTGAGGAGGAAGGCGATCCAGCATCAGTTCTCAGTGCCATACAAACCTTAGCAAAACATCATGGCTGAACGGTTCAACCAGACCCCGTAGAAAAGTGCACGCACTCTCTTTGGGCGTGCAGCAGGGCTGCGGGATCCATTTTGGGTGTCTGCACTGCAGCAGGCCACCCTTGTGAAGAATAGGGTGCTGGCGACTGTTGAAGATAAACAGTGGGTCCCATACACCATGTGGTATGAGATTGCTAGTGAACATGCTGAGAGTCTTTGGGTGTATAGTGGTTTTCCATGTGCCTGGAAGAAGAGAGAAAAGCTGGAAGCTTTAAGAAGATTGGGTGTGCACTTGGGGATTCCTAAAGATCACAAGGGCTTGCTGCTGTGAAATTTGACCAGCCATAAGTTGATTGTGTTAAGAGATGTGGAGTTCCTTGAGTTCCTGTACTACAAGGAGTGGAAACAGCAGCAGCAGAAGCTTCCGATGACACCACTCATCGTTGAGGCAGATGAAGAGCAGTGGCCTTCAAAGGAAGTGGAGGTTTTTGTGGCAGAGGATGAGATCTCAGGGGTGACTGAGGATGGGGAGCTGATCCGCTACAAGTCAAGGCTTGTGGCAAAGGGGTTTCAACAAACAAAAGGGAAGGACTTTGATGAGGTATTTGCTCCTGTGTGGAAGAGAACAACTCTGAGATTGTTGTTGGCAAAGAGGAGCAAACAATGGGTGGAAGATAAATCAGATGTATATCACTACTGCATTCTCCAAAATGATCATTCTGGAGGAGCTGTACATGCAGCAGGCCAAGAGATTGGATAATGGGAGCGGCAAGGTGTGCAGGCTGAAAAATGTCATATATGGCCTGAAGCAGGCTCTTTGTGCTTGGTATCACATATTGAAAGAGTGAATGGTGACCACAGCATGTTACTGCTGCAAGAGAAATATCATATTTCTCATTCTCGAAGCATAGCTTTCAAGACAAGAATAATGGATCCACGACAGAAGTATCGAATGCGACGAAGATATGCGGGAAGAGCAAACAGAAGGCAAAGTCTCAAGACGGAGCCTACAAGCATCCTGAATTACGCCCCAGATGGTGGGCCCAAATACGGGCCGCACAAAATTTTACGACACGATATCCTGCACTCTGTCAATCCAGATGCGTGACTCTACGGCGAGTTCGATCGCGTGTTCAAAACCAGGAATAGTTATCCCAAGTAGTAAGCTTGTGTCGTGTAACAAAACATTTAGACTATATTAGCGTTTGTTCACATTGTAGGCATCAGCGCCAGGGTTGACGTTTCAAATATAACGATTTAGATTTCAGCCTCACTATACATATGTACATACATATATATATATGTATTATGTATAGTAACTTCGGCCGAGACAAGCTAGGGCCTTATCACAATGCCTAGTAGTGTATATATATATATGTGTATGTATATCTGTATACATATTCATATATATGTGTGTATGTTCTTTATTTTTCTTTCTTTTTTTCCCCGACTTCTTTCTTCCTTTGCCTGGCAAAGGAAGAATTGGGTGGGCTGGAAACGGCAAGATGGAAGCTAGTGGAACTGCAAACGGCGCACGGGGGGGAGTACAGCAACTTCAGCATTCAGTCCCCATTGACGAATCCTATGGATTTAGAATTAACGCTGAAACTTCCAAACCGTGCACAAGGTAAATCGAACAATGGTGTGACGTTAGTTTGTGAAAACCGCTTGACTGGGACATGGTCCGAGAGCAACCCTACCTGGAGTAGATGATCAAGGCGGTCCAGGGCCAGGCTGACCTTTCCTTCCATTTGAACATGCTTCATCCTTTACATGGACTCGCTATGTTACATCGTGCCCGTGAGACGTTAGATTCACCGTGATGGACCGGGGACACTTTAAAGAATTTATATACATGATAGGACAGTATGTCTGGCTCTGCGTGGAACGTGTTAACGACGAGGCTGCTTCCCGACCCAACCGATCTGTCAAGACCAAGTATTGACTGGGTGAGCTGAAAGCGTGAGGATCTGCTTTTCCAGTCAGCTCATGGAAGTAATTCTCTGACAACCCGCCTACAGCTTGTCGGCCAACAGCATCCTGCATCACGTGTTTGTGGGTATTGACGCATCCAGTCGTCTACAAACACGCGGAATTTATATTGTAAGATGTTTTGTTGTTAGAAAGCTGGGTATAAGTCGCAAAGGTTGCTGGTTCACGCGAGTCTCCCTATGAACCAATTGGTGAATCATGCAACTTCAACGTCACGTCCCGTGGAATGAAGGCTCGGTCTGCCTGGACTTCCCTACATCGGTCAGAAGCAGCTGACCGGATTCTCCAACCAGATCATTAGCCTTGATTGCTCCAACCTTGAAATTTACTTTTCACAGGCTATTTTTTCTCAAAAAGCTTCTACTGGGCTCTTTACTTGTTTTCCGCGTGCACTGATGACGATGTGATTCCAGGCATGTGCCAGTCCACCGAACCTTGCTTGTCGTTTTGAACAACCAGTGAATCTGAGATTTCGGTTTTACTAAGTTTTTAGTTCTAAGCAGGGTACAGAATTGTGTCTCGATACCGTTTGTCTTCGTCTTCATGTTCCCTCTAGGCTTCTGCTTGCCTAGTGTACATGGATAATGATCTTCAAGCCATGTATAATGGTTGACGTGGCTCATGGTCAAGCCTTCCTTCATGCCCTCATGCTGCCGTTCCTTCCAGCAGGGCGTGGGCGGATGCATACAAGCAGCGGCCTTACCTGGTGGAGGAGAGGGGCCTGATGGTCAATGCCACAGAGGAGCACATGCAGGTGACCCATGCCGTGCCATGCCATGCCATGCCATGCCATGCCATGCTTTGCCATGCCATGCTGTGCCGTTCCATGCCATGCTGTACCATGCCATACCATGTCATGCAATGCCATGCAATGCTGTGCTGTGTCGTGCCGTTCCATGCCATGCCATGCCATGCCATGCCATGCATGTCAGTTCATTTACACGGAACACTGGGAGCACCAAGCGACTCTGGCACCAGAACTTGTCACTTGTGCAAGCTGTTGCTCATCCTTGTTCCTTTTCTCCACTCACTCTCGTATCACATCTCACCCAGCAACACATCTCGCCCCAACATTTCTCCCTGCATCACAATTTCCCTTGTGTCTGCTGCCCTCCCGCACCCTCCCTTCCGTTCCCCCTCCCACCCCTTAACCCTACACCTCTCCTTCCCTAGTTACCCAGGCCCACTTGTGGCAGGCGCCTCTCTCAACCCTCATCATTCCTTCCTCCCTTCTCCTCCACCCCTGCAACCGCATCCCCCACCCCCTCCCCCCCCCCCCCCCTCCCCCTCGGTCCCCAAGGCCTACTGGTGGCAGGCCCAAGCCCTGCGCTTCCTGCTGCGCTGGCCCTCCGCGCTGCTGTGCCACGCCACCAACCGCATGCGCCACTCCGCGTACGGGCTGCAAGCGGCGCAGCATTCAGCGGAGTACATGACAGAGCAGCGCGAGATAGTGGCTGCTCTCCGCTCCGACCCGCCAGACCCAAACCCTGGGGTAAACCTGCGAGCAGAGGCTGTTATACTGTCCGCATTCGACTATACCAAACACCGGAACCTGGAAACAGATGTGTGGCCTGGGCTGGGATACGCGGGGTGTGGATATGCGGAGACTGCGATTGGGGGTGAGGAGCGAGGAGGGCGTGAGGGGAGAGCGGAGAGAGCAGGGGGTTCGGGTGGAGGTGGATGGAATCTTGGACAATGGGCGACAGGAGAATGGAGAATTGGACCGTGGAGGATTGGAGCAGCTGAGGAGGAGGGGGATGTGCCCGAGGAGAAGCCGCGGGCGCTGGTGACGTACGAGAGGGTGGGCAGGGAGGTGGGCATGCCACGGCCGGTGGTGAGCATGCATGTGGAGCAGCAGGTGGGCGACCAGGCGGATGCGCTGCTGCCGCTGCTCTCGCTGGCCTACCGCCTGCGCCACCTCAACCCCGCGCTCTTTTTCCGCGCCCACTTCCAACCTGGACCTCCTCCTCATTTCAGCAGAGTCTGATTATCTTGCTGCTGCACTCAACTCAACTTGGACCCAGGCTGTTCATGCACTCAGGTCCACAAATGGCCGACTATACTCCAGGTTTTTGTCCTACTAAAATTTTGTACTTTCCATCCAAACAGTATTTACAAATGTACATGTGTTGGCACAACCCTAGTCCTGGGGTGGGAATATGCGATTCTATACCTACCGAATCAAGCGTTGAAAAGTATCTGTGTTGCTTTGAGTTGCAAACAGCTGCTTGGGAAATGCCATCTCCCCACACATATAGGCACAAGCCTATGATATGCACATGCGTTCATACCGTAGATTTGGCATGTTGCAAGCTAAGGTGGTGTGATGTCAAAGGAGTGGAGTGGTTTGAAAGGAGCGATGCCAATGCCAAAGTGTCAAATGTAATTCTATGCTTGTAGGCTACAGTGAGTAGCACAATAGGGAGTACAGTTGTTAGGGTTGCATATTTGTACTCTCACACTTTCTAGTTTCGCACATTCCGTTGCATTCCTATTCTGAGATGGTATCACGAGTAGGTTAGATCCTCGTTCGTTTTTAGCTAGCCTCCGCGCCCTACGCGCCCTCCGTGCTCTCGCGCCCTCCGCGCCCTCCGCGCCCTCCGCGCCCTCCTCGCGCCTAGCCCGCTCCCTCCCGCGCTGTCCAGCCTGTCGCGCGCCCTCCTTAGACCTCCGCGCGCCCTCCCCCACCGTTGCGCGCCCTCCAAAACCGTCGTGCGCCCTCTTTAGACCGCCGCGCGCCCTCCTCAACCGTCGCGCGCCCTCCTTAGACCGTCGCGTGCCCTCCCCTCCGCCTGTCGTGCGCCCTCCTCCGTCAACGCTTCCCGCACACCAGCGTGCGCTTACCGCACACCTGCGTGCACTTACCGCACACCTGTGTGCGCTTACCGCACACCTGCGTGCACTTACCGCATCACTCTGTGTGCGCTTCCCGCACACCTGCGTGCGCTTCCCGCACACCTGCGTGCACTTACCACACACCTGCGTGCACTCACCGCACACCTGCGTACACTTACCGCACACCTGCGTGCGCTTACCGCACACCTGCGTACACTTACCGCATCACTCTGTGCGCTTACTGCATCTCTCTCCCCGTCACCTGTGCACCGGTCCCACGCCATTCCTACTGCACTTGGCTCCCGGCTCAGCGGCTGGCAGCCGCTCTTCCCTCCGGTAGCGCCACCTAGGTTCGGTTAGAGCCCCGCCCCACGACTATTTTCTCGCCGACTGTCTCTCGTCGGTTTCCCCGCTGGCGTCCCTAGCCCTCCGTAGTCTGCCTCTTTGACCAGGTGGAGACAGCCAAGGGGGTTTGGGATGCTATTGCGGCTCGCTATTCCACCCCCTCCTCCGCCTCCCTCAGTCGCCTCCTCATGCCGTTCGTGTTTCCCGACCTAGGCTCGTTTGCGACTGTTTCCGACCAAGTGACTCACCTCCGCTCGCTTGACGCCGGTTTTCGTTCGGCCTGTACCGACGCACAGCTCCTTGTTGCTCCCCCCCCCATGTGGCTCACTGTGCACTAGTTAGTCACCCGCCTCACTGTGCTCCCTCCTTGCCACTGCCCGCGACACGCTTCTTCAGAAGCACCCCACTGAACTCACTATAGACCTCCTTCAGACTGCTCTCGGGACCATCGAGAGCAGCCTCCTCACCGTTGCCTCCGCCACTGATGCGGTGGCCCCCCGTCTCTTTGCGGGGTGTGCCGCCCCTCAGCTTCCCACTTTCACCGCTACACGCGCTTTTGCTGCTGTGTCGGTCTCTGCGGACACCGCTGCCGTTTCTGTCGCAGACTGGCAGAAACGGGGCAAGAGTGGCAAGAAGGGCGGGAAGGGGGGATGTGGGGGCGGAGGAGGTGGCGGTGGAGGGGGCGGTGGAGGTGGGAGCGGCGGTGGTGGTGGAGGCGGCGGCGGTGGCGGCGGTGGTGCACCAGGGGGAGGGGGCCTTGGAGGAGGCGCAGGACAGACAGGTCCACCCACAGGTGGTGGCCCGACCGGTGGGGGTGCTGCCCCCCAGCAGCAGCACCCACAGCAGCACCAGCCACAGCAGGAACAGCAGCAGCAGCAGGGACAGCAGCAGCAGCAGGCACCGCAGCAGTTCCAGCAGTGGGGGCCCCCGCTGCAGTGGGGTCCGCAGCAGCACTGGGGTCCCCCGCCGCAGTGGGGTCCGGGAGGCCCTGGGAGCACCAGCCGCAGCAGCAGCTCTTCCAGCTAGGCCCCTCGCCCCCCTCGCCGTGACGCTGGCCCCTGCACCCACTGGTGCCTCACCGGGCCGGGCAGCCCCTGTCTCTGTGGTCGCGACGACCACTCTGCCGCGCGGTGCTTCCGCCGCCTCGACGACCTCTACCGGGCTCGTTGGGGCCCCCTGGCGGTCACGCCTCGCTGGTCTCGTCTGTTAACCCGTAAGATTGATGTCTTTGATTTGTCCATGGACGATGCGCGTCAGCATGCTGTGTATGTTGATGCTGACTTTAGTGCTGAGGGATCTGTGTGCTCGCGTGTTCGTAGTTTAGCCTGCTTGCCTCCTGCTAGTGTAGCCTTGTGCCTGTCTAGCTTAGGTGCTTGTGTTGCTGCTCTAGGTGCTTGTGTAGTGACTGGGTCAGGTGACCCTCCGGCTGAGGCCTCTCTGTCGTTCACGCTGGACTCGGGCGCGTCTCAGTGCTTCTTCCGCGACCACACGGCCCTTACGCCACTCCTCACTCTTGTGTCAGTGGCTCTGGCTGATCCTACCTCTGGACCAGCCGTTGCACGTAGCTCCACCACCCTCCCGTGCCCTGTAGTCCCCTCTGGTGTCCTGCGCGGCCTCCACATCCCCTCGTTCACTCGGAACTTGGTGGGTGTTGGATACCTCCAGGACAGGGGGATCACGGTTACCTTCGTGGGGGGTGGGCGGACTGCAGTCTGTACTGACGCTACCACAGGTGCTGTTCTGGCTACGTTCACCAGGGAGCCCCGCTCCGGTCTCTACGTTCTCCACACCGAGCGCTCCCCGGTCGCGTCCTCCCCTCAGGTCGTTGCGTCCCCTCCGGCCCAGGTCCCCAGTCCAGTTGCGGTGTCTAGCTAGGTAGTCGTTCCAGTCCGGTCGCTGTGTCCAGTCCAGTCGCTGCGTCTTGCTCCTGTCGCTCTCTCGCCCACCGCACCGTCCTGTGGCACCACCGTCTTGGCCACCCGTCGATCCCTCGCCTTCGTGGCATGCTCAGTCAGGGACTAGTCACAGGTCTCCCACGCACCTTCCCGTCGCTCCCTCTCTCGCTTGCCCCTCCTTGCTCTCCGTGCGTCGCCGGTCGCCTACGCGCCACCCCCCACTCCTCCTCCCTTCGTCCGGCCACCGCTCCCTTCGAGACTCTCCACTTGGACGTCTGGGGCCCTGCCCCGACGCAGGGGTCTGGGAGGGAGCGTTACTTTCTGGTGGTCGTCGACGACTTCTCCAGGTACACCACAGTGTTCCCTCTTGCGAAGAATTCCGAGGTGACTGCTACGCTGATCAGGTGGCTTCTAGCCACTGAGGGCACTCGTGGTCGTCGAGTCAGTTGTCTCCACTCCGACCGTGGGGGCGAGTTTCGCTCCGGCATTCTCGTGCGGCGAACAGGGCATCACCCAGTCCTGGACGCTGCCAGAGTCCCCACAGCAGAATGGGGTTGCTGACCGCCGCATAGGCTTGGTCATGGACATCGCCCGCACGTCCATGATCCATGCCCGTGCGCCCCATTTTCTGTGGCCCCACGCGGTTCGCTACGCCGCACACCAGCTGAACCTCCAGCCGCGTGTCTCGCGGCCCGAGGCTTCACAGACCAGTCTTTGGACTGGTTCCCCTGGTGTCGGGTCGGCCTTTCGAGTCTGGGGCTGCCTTGCACTTGTTCGCGACACCTCCGCGGACACGCTCTCGGCACGCGCCGTCCCCTGTGTCTTCCTTGGTTTCCCAGTGGACTCTGCCGACTGGTCCTTTTACCACCCTCCCCTCCACCACTTCCTAGACTCCCGTGACGTCCGGTTTGACGAGTCCGTGTCCTACTACACCCGGTACCCCTGTCGAGGTCTCCTGGTACCCCCTCCCCCTCTTTTCCTCGCACCCTCTCCTCCTCCTGCTCCCGCTCCTCCGGTACCCCCGCCCCCCCCCTGGTCCTGCCCCGTCTGGTGTGTCCCACGTTACCCCTCTACCCTCGGTCGCGCGTCAGGTAGCGTCTCCCTCCCCGCAGTCCTCCTCACAGTCCCCTCAGCAGCCTTCGGCACTTCCGCGACAGGTTACTGTGGACTCGGTTGGTGTTGGGGCTGGAGGTGCAGCCACTGGCGGTGCTAGGTCTGGGGGTACTCGGTCGCGGGGTGCTGGAGCTGGAGGTGCTGGCGCAGGTGGCGCCAGCTCTGGGGGTGCTGGAGCTGGAGGTGCTGGCGCAGGTGGCGCTAGCTCTGGGGGTGCTGGAGCTGGAGGTGCTGGCACTGGTGGTGCTAGTTCTGGGGGTGCTGGAGTTGGAGGTCCTGGCACTGGAGGTGCTGGTACTGGGGGTGCTGGAGTTGGAGGTCCTGGCACTGGAGGTGCTGGTTCTGGGGGTGCTGAGTCTGAGGAGTCTGACCCTGGTTCTGCGGAGTCCACTCCGCCTCCCCACCGCCACGACACACGACTCCAGGCTGCCCGCCGGCGTGAGCGTGAGGAGCAGGAGCGGTTGGAGAGGGAGCGGCAGGAGCTGCGGGTGCTGGACCTTCTGGAGCAGCAGCGGCAGCAGCAGCAGCAGCAGCAGCAGCAGCAGCAGCAGCAGCAGCAGCCGCAGCCGCAGCCGCAGCCGCAGCCGCAGCAGCAGCAGCCGCAGCCGCCACCGCAGCTTCCTCTGGAGCGGCGGTTGTTCCCACCTGTGAGTGGCCTGCGGGCCCTTGGCCTTCCCTCCTCTCCTCCTGTCCGCTCCCTGTCTCCTCCTGTGTTTGTCCCTCCGTTGCCTCCTCCTGACGACCGTCCGGCAGTCTGGTCTTCTCCTCCTCTTCTGTCTCCTCCTCCTTCTGTCCGTCACGACTTGATCACTCGTTGTCCTCCACGTGCCCGTCACTCGTCCCCCGTTACTGACCTTCACACAGCCCTCCTTTGTTCGTCTCGTCGTCGTTCTCCTGTGTCCGTTCTCCCGTCTCCTCCTCCGTCCTCTCTCCCAGCCCTCCCCATTCCTATCTCTGACTACTACCGCGCTGCTCGTCCTGTTGCCGCACGTGTCCTCGCCACTCTTGTCACCGACTCTCGTTTCCCTCCGTCGTCTGTCTCGGCTCTTACTGTTGCTGTCGCTGAGTTTGCTGCCGCCAGCCGCCTTGACTACGCCACCCGTGTGGTGCCAGCTCCTCCCTACCGTCCTCTGTCCGTCGGGGGTGGGTTTGCCCTTGGCTGTGACGTCCTAGAGGACAGAGAGTCTGAGCTAGAGTACTGGGCAGCCGCTTCTCCCTCTGTGTGTGCCATGCTGCTCTCCCCTGAGGGAGACCCCGACGCCCTTGACATACCGACTCCTCGCACTTGCCGCGAGGCAGTGTCAGGGGCGTGGGCCTCTCAGTGGAAAGCGGCTATGGACTCAGAGTTGGCGTCTTGGAGATCCACAGGCACCTACGTCGACGCAGTTCCCCCTCCCAGGGCGAACGTAGTCGATGGCATGTGGCTCTTCAAGGTGAAGCGGCCGCCTGGAGCACCGCCGGTGTTCAAGGCGCGCTACGTGGCTAGGGGCTTCAGTCAGCGTGAGGGAGTTGACTTCTTCCAGACCTTCGCCCCGACCCCGAAGATGACTACTCTTCGGGTTTTACTCCACATAGCAGCGCAGCGAGACTACGAGCTGCACTCCCTCGACTTCTCCACTGCGTTCCTCCAGGGCCGACTGCACGAGGAGATCTGGTTGCGCCGTCCTCCTGGCTTCACTGACACCTTCCCACCTGGGATCCAGTGGAGCCTGAGGCGACCAGTCTACGGTCTCCGCCAGTCGCCCCGTGAGTGGCACGACACTCTTCGCTCCACGCTCCGTGACCTTGGGTTCAGCCCGTCCTCCGCCGACCCGTCACTGTTTGTTCGAGCGGGTTCTACTCCTTTCTTTATCCTTGTCTACGTCGACGACTTGGTGTTTGCTACAGCAGACAGGGCAGCCCTGGCTCAGGTGAAGTCCGAACTGCAGAAGAGACACAAGTGCACTGACCTGGGTGAGCTGCAGCGTTACCATTGGCTTGCAGATCACCCGGGACAGAGCCGCTCGCACCATCACACTGACGAAGTCACACATGGTGCAGCAGGTCCTTCGGCGGTTCGACTTCCAGTTCTCCACCACTCAGCCCACTCCTCTTGCTGTTGACCACAGACTCATGAGCCCCTTTCCTGACGAGCCCTTTGAGCCCAGTGGACCCTACGCAGAGCTGGTGGGCTGCCTCATGTACCTGATGACTTGTACTCGACCGGACCTCGCCTTTCCCCTCAGCATCCTTTCTCGCTTTGTTGCGACTGGGAGACACCGCCCTGTCCACTGGACAGCTGCTGTGAGGGTGGCGAAGTACCTGGCGACTACATCAGGCATGGGGCTTGTGCTTGGAGGGACTCAGCCAGTGGCGTTGACTGGTCACTGCGACTCTTCCTACGCTGACGACGTGGAGACTCAGCGCTCGACTCAGGGTTACTGCTTCAGTCTGGGAGCTGGTGCTGTGTCGTGGAGGTCTACACGGTCGTCGTCTGTGGCTACTTCCAGTGCAGAGGCAAAGATCTACGCTGGTGCCATGGCGGCACAGGAGCTTCGCTGGTTGACCTTCTTGCTCGCTGACCTTGGTGAGCGGCCTCGCTCTGAACCGACCTTGTACGCTGACAACAAGGCCATGATCCTCCTGTGTCGAGAGCCTCGACTGGAGAGCAGAGTGAAGCATATTGACGTGAGGTACTTCCTCCTGCGAGAGCTGCAGCGACGCAGCCAGGCACGCCTGGACTTTGTGGCCTCAGAGGCCAACACTGCAGACGTCTTCACCAAGGCCTTGGCGCTTGGTGATCACCACAGGTTCTGTGTGCAGTTGGGGCTTGTTGAGGTAGGCCCTCGGTTGCTGTAGTCTTGTTGTTTGCTCTGCTTGTTGTGCTTCCTATTTATATCCTAGTGAACTCTTGAACTGGCCTTGTGGCCGCTTGCTTGCGCTCGGAATTTGTGTGGTGTCCTTGAGATCCACCCTGAGCTTGCCTTGTTTCTTGCTTTGACTGGTCTTGTGACCGCTTGTTCACCTTGCTTGCTTTGATGCCCCTCACTTAGCCTATGGGGGTGTGTCAAATGTAATTCTATGCTTGTAGGCTATAGTGAGTAGCACAATAGGGAGTACAGTTGTTAGGGTTGCATATTTGTACTCTCACACTTTCTAGTTTCGCACATTCCGTTGCATTCCTATTCTGAGACAAAGTTCCTGCAAAAGTTTCTACTCGGCGGCAAAGACCTATGTTTTCTGGTGACTAGGAGATGTCAGAACCTGTACTGGGGATGCCTGATCGATCTTAGGGAAGGGTTACTCGTGCAAAGCCTGGGTGGTTATGTGCGCACACGCCGGCTACTTTATCCCAGTGGCAGGGCCTCAGATTCGTTTGAGGGTACCCTGAGGCGTCAGGGCAGTTGAGTAGGAAGCCTAGTTTTGTCCTGAATTGTCAGGACTACACTAGGTAAGTATGCTGAGCCGTCAGTGCTACTTGTGACACTATCCTGGCACATCAGTGTTACATTTCAACTTATCCTGAATTTTTTTTCCTCTAACTGGCATGTTTAAACTTTGACAATAACACCACACACACACACACACACACACACACACACAGAGACAGACACTCATGCACAACAAACATTATTGTCAAGTTGCATTCATTATAAAATAAGAAACACTACAACTACCCGTTATCTTCCTCCTCCTCCACATCATCTGCACTTGCATCACTGTCCCCCCCACTGTCAGCATGAGCAGCATCATCATCAGCAGCAGCAGCGTGGTCTCGCTTCTCTGCAAGTGCCCCCCGGAACACCGCGCCACTTCTCCTCGATACATCCACCTTTGCTGCCTTGCGCTTGGTGGGTCGCCTCTTCTTGGTGGTGCGCCATCGTGCCACTACTTCACTCCACTCCATGTCGTACTCCAATAGACTCAGCGTCATGAGGTCGCCCAGCTTTGCGTCGCACAAGCTGGTCCGCTGCCAGCTCTTGATGACATTTTGGCGCGAGAATCCGCGCTCGCACTCCACTGTGCTGAGCGGCAACACTGCTAGAGCCGCCCACAGCCGCACGAGGTTCGGATAAGTCCTCTGCCAGTCTGCAGTAGACAAGATCGCCCGCAACCCCGCATGGAAGGGCTGCTCCTCCTTTGGCGCCCCGGACAGCACAGACAGAAACGTGCGCATCTCCTTCTTCACGTCGCGCTTGTTCACACCTGTTTGGTGGGATGATAAGGGAGCATTCAAGCGCAGCATCAACAACCGTGATTCTAAGGGGTACAAGAGATACAACGATTTAAGTGGGAGAACAGATCAGATAACTCACCAGGCAGTATCTCATCTCTGTCACGAGCATGGAACATCACCGCCAGCTTCTCCATGTGTTCTTTGCACTCCTCGTCCCTCGCCTCTTTCCCACGCGGCCAGGTTCTTGGCATGAAGAGCTTTGCGGCGTTGAGATTTGTCAAGTCGCCAAGCCGAAAGTCGAGGTTGTAAAGCAGCTCCGTCGCAAACGAGCGACACGTCCGAATGCATGACTGGATGTCACCATCGCTCGCCGAGTAGCCGGGAATCGCCTCCTCGTGCAGGGTGAACTCATGCTCCCTTGCCTGCTTCGCACGAAGATAGCTCGATGTTGCCGACACTAGTTCCGCGAACCCGTACCTGCGAATGCACGGTTGGGGAAACTCTGTGTTAGTATAAAGTATCGAATATGTTTGGAGACATTTACTAACAATCATTTACTTACGTTGTGTAATACGTGCCGTAGCCGTTCTTCGGGAATCCCGGAGTCCCACGGGATGCAAGGTGCCGGACGAGTTGCACCCACATCTCTATGGGTGTGTCACTCTTGGTAATGAAGAGCATCGTGTCCAGCAGCGCCTCCACCGCATCGTGCTCCACGTCACGGGCTTTCGGGCAATCCGGGATGCGATGCTGTCCAGCCGCTTTGGCCAACGCCAGCTCCTGGTTGCGGATGGCGTCCCTGTGCTTCGTGGTCCTTTGATGACGTTGCATGGCTTGAGTCTGCACATCCAGGGCCCCTTCGCCTTTCCCAAAGTTGGTTCCTGTTCCTCCATATTCCATACACACTGTACACTTCATGGAGGGAAATCCATAAAAAGTTTGACAAATAGTTAGCCACGGGTAGTCCTCGTTCCACCGTCGTTTAAACATGAGCAAAGCTTCCTGATATTTTTCCTCTGCGATGTCGGGAAGTACGGTGTCAGACGAAGCAGTGCCGGCGGTTTCAACAAGCACAGTAGGTTCGGTGGTCGGTTCATGATCTTGCCTGGAGACAGAGAGGACAGCGGTGTTGTCAGATGTACGGACAAATGACAGCTTTGTCTGATGGTACCGTTGCACGGAGATTTTTTTGCTCGGAGGACCTTTACGGGTCGTCCCAGCAGCCTTAGAGCATTCCCCTTGCGTACGAATCGGCGGTGGCAAGGGGTCGTTGTCAACCACGACCAGTGCAGCTGTCGCGGGAGAAGGCACGGGTGGCTGGGACGGCGACGGGAGGGAATCACCTGCGGCAGCGGTAGGTTCTGGTGTTGGTTGAGGCGGTGGTGGAGGCTGAACGGGCCTACTACGCAAAAAATCCAGGCCCGTCAACACTACGGTCGGGCCGGTAGGGTTAGGTACGGCGGGGGCTTCACCATCGCCCGCCGGCGATGGGTCAGCCATGGGCGGTCAGCAGTGGTAGAAGTTGAGCAGAGATACGGCGTCGAGCAGCTAGCAAAATTACGGGGAAAAACAGGGATTCTTGGTGTTGTGGCTGGGGTTTGGTTGAGAGACAACATCAGGCTGGAGAGGATGGAGGAAGAGACAGAACATCGGGAAGGTTCCCGAACCTTCCCAACCCCAGACACATGGCGCCGCGACCAAAGGAGTCGCGGCGTATGCGCTGGCAGGGCAGCGCAGCTGTGGCATGGCGCCGTGTGAAGTTCATTTGATGGGGACGAGCAAAGGGGGGTGGGTTGGATTAGTTCCACGTTTCATGGCTAGGTGGGAAGCACGTGCCAACAGCATCTTGCAATGTTGGCCGTGCTTTTCCCGCTTGTTAAGTCCGCGGCGCTCTATGATTGGCTGGTATTACAGCATTCCTGTGTTTCCAGGGTGGTTGCGGTGTGGTTTTGCGCCACTCATGCAAAAAAAATCAGTGCGGCAATCACGCATCGTAACTTACGCTGTACCAGGTCGGTGGTTGGGTACACTAGGCCTGGGGGAAAATGCAGTATTCGCGTCAGGACGAGTCTCGACACTATCCTGACTCATCAGGGCTGTTCCTACAGCGCTATCCTGAGGGCCCAGTATGCAAAATCACCATTATACTGATTTCACAGGACAAACATTTGCCTTATGCTGTTTTTCCAGGACAATGCCTAAACACCTATCCTGAATTCAGGAGAATCAGGATAAATTATCCTGATAGCATAGGCCCTGCCCAGTGGTCTAGTGGCTGGGGTTATGTCATGAGCGGAGATTGTTAATCCCAAACTAATCCAATATTTGAGCCGTGCTGTGAGAGAGATGGTGATGCAGGTGGGATGCTGCAATTTTGTATAATCTTCCATTCCATCACGTCCAACCGAGCCGGTCCAGGTCCACGCTTGTACCGTAGTACTTGGGCCAAGAATGGTGGCGCAAAACCTCAAACACAGGCATGCCGGTCGGTATGTTTGGTTGGGATTACCCTACCCTACCACACTCACTATGGATGGAGCCAGTGCCCTCTAGTTGCTGCCACAGGTTTCGACTCTGCATAACAATAAAGACACCCATACAGAAAGAGCACATGTGCTGCATAAGTGCATTACGACTCCCTAGAACTATCTGCCGGCATGCTGTGTGGTGGTGTGATGCCGTGGCAGCACTCTTGACATCACGCTTCCCTGGCGGCAGGAGGAGACGTCAAGCGGCCAGAGGGAGGAGCCATCGAAGTAGAGGTTCAAGCCGGGGAGCACCAGCAATGTGAGATCATCATCGTCATCATCGCAGTCGCCGTCCTCCTCTTCCGCTGCTTCATCGTACCGCACACCACCAGCGCCAGCACCTGTTCTGCTTGCATTAGCAGCAGCAGCATCGGCAGCATCCTTCAGGCCAGCAGTGTCATGAGGAGTGTGGTGTTGCCCGCTGCTGCAGTGACACGCACACGTGTGAAAGGGGCACACGTTACCACAGTAGCGAGCATGGTAGCGAGCATCAAGCCTTACAAGAACGCCAACGGCGAATTGCAGCTTACATTATTCAATGGGGGACACAGACACTGCGCGACACACGGTGCGAAAGGGCGAGCACCAAAGGCGAGACGCAAAGAAGGGAGGTTCATGGGTTGGCCCTTACCTATTGAGTGGCGACGAGAGAGAGTGCTGCTGCATCCCATGGACGTGCGTGCACGGGGGTTGCATGCAGTGCCCTGCAATGAGGTGCACACACACAAACGGCCCACTGCCCTGCCTGCTGTCCCTCGCACCGCTACATTCTCTGCTGCACCCCCTGCAGCAGGCAGTGCAGCAGGCAGTAGCAGGAAGAACACGAGCCTTGCACCCAGAGCACGCCCCCACGCGCTCTGCACCATCCGCCTCCCTCCTGCTCCCACCTCCATCACACGTGCGTGCACTCTCCCTTGCCTGCTCCAGCCGTGCACAAGACACATCCCCACCACTGCTGCCCCTCTCATCATGCTCCACTCCACACCCTCCCCCCTCTATCCCCTCGCTCCCCCTACTTCCCTCTCTCACCTCCCACACGCCTCCTCCTCCCCCTTCCCCCTCACTCACCCCGCCTCCTCCCGCAAGCATCCACCTGCGCTGAAACGCACAAATCCCCGGCGCATGCAGGGAGGAGGCAGCGAGGCAGAGAGGGCTGTGGGGGCGCAGGTCACGGATGAGAGCGAGCAGCAGGCGCCGCGTGGTCGTGGCCGCTGCTAGCTGCTGCTGCCGCTGGACCGCGCCCAGCAGGGATGCTTCATGCGCCGCCCTGCACACCTGTGCAGTGGTCGCAACGGGAGGGGGTGGGAAGGGGGTTTGGCATGACTCAATAGTTGGTGAGAAGTGCGCCGGCGGGATGCTTGCTGAGCCGTTCTGCACACCTGTGGTGGTGGCAAGGGGGGAGGGCGCAGGGGGTGGGGGTGTGGGGTTCGCAGGGGCGGGTGATGGAGATGGGAGAGATGGGGGAGATGGGGAAAGATGGAGAAATGCTGAAGCTGCTGTGTGCGTAATCAACACATTCATCGTCTCCACCCATAATCAACAAGACCAAAAACAGGCAGGAAATCCACAAGATTACCAACCAACCCCCCTCCAATAATCCCACCAGATAAAATCACCTCCCGAGCGAGTGCCAACCCCATTACCTGCGCACAGAGGGACGCGTCAAACAGAGGCAAGCCAAGGCTGAGCGAATGAGGCACCCAGCCCTTGCTGCACCCCACAGCACCGCATGCAACTTCTGCCAAAGCAGTGACTCCTGCAGCAGCAGCGGCAGCAGTGCGGTCACCATCGCCACAACCACCACCGCTGAGAGTACACTGATTGCCATGCTGCGCCGTGGATGCTCCACCATGCCCCCCGTCCTCGTGCATCACGGCACTACTGGATTCCCCTTGTGGTAAATGCATGAGCGTGAGCACACCCATGCCTGTCAGCCCCAACGGATACACCACTCTCTCTATGCAGCCCATCCCCTCCACCTGCTGCAATGCTCCCCCTTCCGCTTCCTCCCTTGCTCTACCTCCCTCCTTCTCCCCCGCGTGCTCTGCAGCCGCCCCACTGTACATTTCCTGATCTGCCTGCTCCTCCTCGGCCTCGTTACCCGTGCGGCACTCGCCCCTGCTGCCACCACATGCCACCCCGTCTTGGTCCTTGTGAGCTGCCCCTGCTTCAGCTGCCCCTGCTTCAGCTGCCCCTGCTTCAGCTGCCCCTGCTTCTGCTGCCCCTGCTTCGGCTGCCCCTGCTTCAGCTGCCCCTGCTTCTGCTGCCCCTGCTTCGGCTGCCCCTGTTTCGGCTGCCCCTGTTTCGGCTGCCCCTGCTTCGGCTGCCCCTGCTTCAGCTGCCTCTGTTTCGACTGCCCCTGTTTCCTCTGCCGCTGACCTCCCACATAGTAAGTCACATGCTTCCATAGCATCACTGTCAGCACCACATGCACCTGCAGCAGCACCATCCGCAGCACCTTCAGCAGCACACTCAGAAGCAACAGCGTGCCCGCGCGTGGGGAGGAGAGGCAGTGGTATGTGCCTTACAACATAGCGCGAGCTCATAAGAGGTTGCACCATCACCGCTGATCGCAGCAGCAGCGTGTTCAACACATGCAGCAACACACCCCCAGGCACTACTGTCAACCCCCCCACCGTATCCTCACCCCACCCCCCTCCTCCTCCCCCACCGCCATTCTCCCCCCCATCCCCCCACCACTCGTCCCCTCCTCCCCCGCCTGCCCTGCCCCCCTTGCGGATGTCCCCCCCATCCCACATGCCCACCAGGGCGCACTCACACGCGCGCAGCACCAAGGGGAGGTGTCTGAGCCTCTGCCCGCGCACGAGAACAATGGTAGGAGGGCCGCAGCGGGAGAGCACGTACAGGAGAAGCTTCAGCCACGGCGTGGCCAAGGCAGGGGCGGGAGAACCATAGTGCACCACTGCTGCTGCCGCTGCTGCTGCTGCTGCTGCTGGTGTTGCTGGTGCTGCTGCTGGTGTTGCTGCTGCTGCTGCTGGTGTTGCTGGTGCTGCTGCTGGTGCTGCTGGCGTTTGTGCTGCAAGTGCAGCGGGGGTGGGTGATGCCAGGTTCCCTGCTGCAGGTGCAGCTGGGGGGGGGAGTGAGCGCATGTGGGGTGGCAGAGCGAGAGAGGGACTCCTGGGAGACGTGATGCAGGCAGCCTCAGGTAGAGGGGAATAACACTCGCCCGCACCACCACCTACAGGCACTGCAAGTGCTGCTGGCGCTGCCAGTGCTGCTGATACAGCAGGGGCAGTGGTGAACGGAACAGGGAGAGCAGTGGCAGCAGGGAGCAAGTCAGGGAAGGGAGGGGAGAGCATGGCGGAGGGGAGGAGTGGGAGAGCGGAGACAATGACGTGGTAGTCGCGGGACAGCAGGCGCTGCCGTATGGACGGCGACAGACTCGCCAGGCTCTCCCCTCGGATAATCTCCACTCGGTTGCACCGCACAGGAGGAGGAAGCGTCGAGGGAGTGCCTGGCGTGAGGCTGCTGCTCAAGCCAGGAGTGGCTTCAGAGGCTTTTCCCGCAGGAGTGGCGGTTGCTGCTGCAGAGACATGCTTCCTTGGCGTGCCAGCAGAGCTGGATCTGCTCACACCCTTCTCGCTGCTGCTGCGCGTGCTGGTGGTGGTGGTGGTGCTGCTGCTGCTGCTGCTGGTTCCCCTGGGCGTGAGCGCTACAGCAAGGGAGTCTGCTGTAGCTGTCACCCGCTCTGCCACACTCCCTGCCACCGACCCTGCCACCTCGCTCAGCGCGAGGGAGATGCTGCCCGGGTAGAGATGCAGGGAGGAGAGCGAGGAGAAGGACGAGAGCGCGGAGAGGGAGTGGAGTGGGTGGGTGGGAACGGATCCGGAAAGGCGCGCCCCTGCTGCCTCTGCCGCGTGCATGAGGCGGTGGGACCATGTGGGGCCGGAGGGGGATGCAGAGGAGTGAGGAGTGGTGGAGGACGAGTGTGGGGATTGCAGAGAGGTGATGATGGTGGGAGGAGGTGTGCGGTGTGCAGGGGTAGGGGTGGGGTAGGTTGTGTTGCAGTCAAGGGTAGGAGTTGCGATTGGGAGGGGAGCACTGTTGCTAGCAGCGCTGTTAGAGCTGGTGCCGCTCATTGTGCTGCTGCTGGCAGCGCTGGCAGTGCTGGCAGCGTTGGCGGTTGCAGTGGAGTCACTGTCAACAGAGGAGGGAGCAGTACCAGCAACCCCAGCTACTGATGGGGACGAGGTTCCATGCTCTAGAGGTGGGTGCAGAGCGGTAGCTGCTTCAGGTTCATCCCCAGTACCCTCTGACGATATGTCTCCTCTTGATGATGATGATGCTGATGGGACAGCAGTTGCCGATCCTACTGTTCCTGCTGCGGCTGCTCCTGCTGCTGCTTCTGCTGCTGCTGCTGGCAACAAGTGGCTATCAGCGGATGCAGGCACATGCAAGTCGTGTGACATAAGGGGGAGCGGGCCAGCAGCAGTGGCAGAGTCAGAAGCAGCAGCAGCAGCAGCGGTTTCAGGAGGAGAGGGCGCAACAGGAAGGGAGCACGTGGCTGCTGTTTCCGGGCCTTGCCTTGCCTCCATGCCCTCGTGAGTGCGCTCATGAGTTACCTCTGCTGTTCCCTCCGCTTCGCCCCTCTCCATCCCATTCCCTAGTGCACTCCGCTTCTCCTTCTCCTCCTCCTCCTCCTCCCCACAATCCCCTGCTCTACTCTGTGAGGGGCCTTCGTGGTGCACCAGTGGTTGACCGTGAGAGGCGGGCAAAGATAGAGCAGCAGAAGAGGGGACAGGGGAGGAAGAGGCAGCTGTTGAAGGGGAGGAAGAGGCGGGGGGAGGAGCAGAGGGGGAGGCACAAGTAGAGGCGGAAGGTGGGGCGGAAGGGGAGGCGGAGGGGGGCAGGGAGAGGCAGCGCAGGGTGGCGATGGCGCAGCGGAGGCAGGAGGCAAGGGTGCGCAGGCGCAGCAGGTCCCCTGCGAGGTCAGGGCTCTCTTCCACCAGCTGCAGCTGCTCCCACAGCTGCAGCACCTGCGGCTCTGCCAGCTTGCCCGCCTCAAACAGCATCACTGCGTGCCGCTTCAGGTCTGGTGGACGGAGGGGACGGGGAGGGGGGACGCGTGGGGGGGGAGCGCCGGGAGGGGTTGGGAAGGGGAGAGAAAGGGATGTGAGGTGAGGCGTGGGAGGAAGTCCCGTTTGGCAGTCAGGTCAGGTGCAGGTGGGGTGCAAGTGAGCGGTGCACGTGGCCGGCATCAAATGACATGAGCTTCATGTGATGGGAGGACCCTCTGTGTCGCCTGTGTAACTGCTACCCACTTTGCAACACGCCAACCAGGGAAGAACAACCCTGGCATGAGGTTGACCCTTTGACCGCTGTCACAACTTCCCCCCGTGCCCCTGTTTCCCGTTGCTTCCTGTGTTCCCTGTTCCCCCCTGTGCCCCAGCGCCCCTGTTTCCCCCGTTTCCCCCCGTTTCCCCCCGTTTTCCCCCGTTTCCCCCATTTCTCCCCTGGCGCCTGTGGCCCTGTGGGCCCCGTGCCCCCGTGAATGCAGTGCAGTGCAAGCCCCACAGCGCTCACCATGGGAGAAGGAGCCCATCATGAGGAACGAGGTGATGCGCGCATCCACCAGCAGCGCCACACTCACACGCTGCTCCCCTGCCCCTTCCGCTGCGCCCCCCACTGCTTCCCCCATTGCCCCTTCCACTGGTCCCCCCACTACTCCCGCCGCTGACCCCATCCCCACCCCTCCCGTAAGACTGGATGCAGAAACTACCCCTGCTGCTGCTGCTGCTGCTGCTTCCTCTACCATCACCCCTGCTCCAGCGCCTTTCCCTGCTTCCCCCACGCCCGTCCCTAGAACGCTGCTGCCACTGCTACTGCTGCAGGAGCTGGGGTTGCGGGTGAGGTGGGGTGAGGAGATGAGGGGAGTTGCGGGCGTTGGGAAGGTGGAGGGGATGGGCATTGGGGAGGCGACATGAGGAAGGGAGGAGTGAGGTGGTGTGGGAGTAACGGCGAGAGGCCCAGTGGTGGGTGTGTGAATGGGTGATAGAGAGGATATTGCTGCTGACTCTGACTGCGGTGATCCGCGCCGTGTTGTGAGCAGTGGTGGCCTGTGTATTGTGTGCAGTGCTGCTGTGTGGGATGTGTGTGATGTGTGGGATGTGTGTGGTGTGAGGCCGTCGGCAGTTCTGCTTGAGTCGCCCACAGCGTCACCCACTGCCGCTGCTGCATCAGGCACGTGCGCATCGTCACATGTTGCTGCATGTCCCGCAGCAGACGAAGCCGAAGCAGCAGCAGCAGCAGCAGCAGCAGAAGCAAGTGGAGCAGAAGAGGGAGGAACAGAAGTAAGGGGAGTTTCAGAGGTGGGTGAAACAACAGGAACTTGCACTCTTGGGGCGGCATCTGTGCCTTGTCCTGCTGCCACCACCTCAAGCACATCGTTCATACCAACTGCACCAGTATCAATCTCAGAACCAGCAACACCAGCAGCAGCAGCACCAGCAGCAGCAGCACCACCAGCAGCAGGTGTGTCATCCCCACGCTCTCCCTCATCCGCTTCCCCAGCCCCAACAACAAAGGCCACAGGAGTCTCCGTGTGAGGCAACGGCAAGGGGCTAGGCAAGGGGCTAGGCAAGTGATCAGAAAGGGAGCTAGGCAGGGAATTGGGTAAAGGGCTAGGCAAGGGGGAGAGGAGGGGGGCGGAGGAAGCCGGAGTGGGGGAGGGCAGCGGGGGGAGCTTTTCGGCCCAGCGCAGGCGGCAGGCGAGGGAGACGATGGGCAGCAGGCGGTGCAGCGGCACCTGTAGCGTGTCCGCTAGCGCTGCCACTGTTGTGGTGTGACTCGCTGCCACTAGCAGGTCGTAGAACAGCCTGGGGGGCCAAGGGGAGATGGGGGGAAGGGGAGATGGGGGGAAGGGGAGATGGGGGGAAGGGGAGATGGGGGGAAGGGGAGATGGGGTGAAGGGGAGATGGGGGGAAGGGGGAGATGGGGTGAAGGGGAGATGGGGGGAAGGGGAGATGGGGGGAAGGGGAGATGGGGGGAAGGGGAGATGGGGTGAAGGGGAGATGGGGGGAAGGGGGAGATGGGGTGAAGGGGAGATGGGGGGAAGGGGAGATGGGGGGAAGGGGAGATGGGGGGAAGGGGAGATGGGGTGAAGGGGAGATGGGGGGAAGGGGAGATGGGGGGGAGGTGAGATGGGGGGAAGGGGAGATGGGGTGAAGGGGAGATGGGGGGAAGGGGAGATGGGGTGAAGGGGAGATGGGGTGAAGGGGAGATGGGGGGAAGGGGAGATGGGGTGAAGGGGAGATGGGAGGAAGGGGGAGATGGGGTGAAGGGGAGATGGGGTGAGGGGGAGATGAGGGGAAGGGGGAGATGGGGGGAAGGGGAGATGGGGTGAGGGAGAGATGGGGGCAGGAGGAGATGGGGCGCACGTGGTGGGGAAAGTGGGGGAGATTGGGGAAAGAGTGGGGGAAAGAGTGGGGGAAAGCGAGACGGGGTGGTTGCGAGAAGTGGGGGTGGAGAGGGGACGGGGGAGGGGGTGGAGCGTTGGGGGAGAGGTAGGCGAGAAGAGAGAAGTGGTTTAAAAAAAGAAGAAGAGCATGGGGGAGAGGAGAGGGGTGGGAGGGTTTGAGGGGTGTGGTGGGCATGCGGGGAGGCTGATGGAGTGAGGCAGTGCAGTCATGTGGTGGAAGAAAGAGGTGTGGCGTACAAGTGACCATGGCTGTATGCACTCAGATATGAGTAGGTAGTGTTGATAGTTTTCCCTGTACCCACCGCCCCTCCCTTTCCCCCTGCCCACCGTCCCTCTCTTTCCCCCCAGCTCACCGCCTCTCCCTTTCCCCTTCCCCCCTGCCCACCGCCCTTTCTTTCCCCTTCCCCCCTGCCCACCGCCCTTTCTTTCCCCCCTGCCCACCGCCCTTTCTTTCCCCCCTGCCCACCGCCCTTTCTTTCCCCCCTGCCCACCGCCCTTTCTTTCCCCCCTGCCCACCGCCCTTTCTTTCCCCCCTGCCCACCGCCCTTTCTTTCCCCCCTGCCCACCGCCCTTTCTTTCCCCCCTGCCCACCGCCCTTTCTTTCCCCCCTGCCCAGCGCCCCTCCCTTTCCCCCCTGCCCAGCGCCCCTCCCTTTCCCCCCTGCCCAGCGCCCCTCCCTTTCCCCCCTGCCCACCGCCCAGCTCACTTCTCCATGTCTCTGGCGCCCTGCGTGTTGCGGTTGGACACAAAGCCATCCAGAGGCAGCACTGCGGGGCGGGCGGGGCGGAAGCAAGAGACGTGCAGGCACGAGGGGTGGAGGAGGGAGAAGGGAAGAGATGGGGAGAGGGGAGACGCTGGGTGAGGCGGCACCGGTGTGACTCAAATCAAGCGATTGGGGAGGCAGTGGACAGGATTCCGCATGGGGGGAGGAGCACTGCCTTGGGAATGGAGCTGATAGCTATAAATGGAGAGTGGTGCTGTAAAGGGCGGTGCTGTAAAGGGCGGTGCTGTAAAGGGCGGTGCTGTATTCCATGTAGAGCCCTCGTGCCACTCACACTGCACGCGGTCAGAGGGCAGCACGGGCACGTCGAGATACACGAGGTGGCGGCAGTACAGCTGCCGCACCACGTCCTCGTGCATCTCCCCCACCAGCATGCGCCCACCCACAGCCTCCTGCAGCACCTGCAGCGCATACAGCTCGTCATCTGACAGCCCCTGCAGGTCGTCTGCTTGCACGTCCACTGCTGACACGCCCCACCACGGCGGCAGTGCGGCTTCGGCTGCTGCTGGGTGTTGCGGGAGGGAGTCGCGCAGCTGCTGCTTGCGACTCAGGCGCCACATTAGCTGCGGGTAGGGGTGTGGGGCAGGAGGGAGTCGCGTGGAGGGGGGTGCCGCGGGAGGGACACGGGAAGGCGGGGAGGAAGTGAGAGGGGGGCTGGGATGGTTGGATTGGAAGTGATGACTAGATGTGGGTCTAAAACGGTTGAATAATTGGAAAGTTCCTCCCCTGCAGTCGAAAATAGACTCCTCACATGCGGACCATATGTGTGGTGAAAGAAATGCATGTGGAGCGGGAGGGGGAGGACCCCTGAGGTTTCAGGCCGAGAATTATGCCGGATCCATCATCCATCATCCAGCGTACATGCATCATCCAGCGTACATGCATCATCCAGCGTACATGCATCATCCAGCGTACATGCATCATCCAGCGTACATGCATCATCCAGCGTACATGCATCATCCAGCGTACATGCATCATCCAGCGTACATGCATCATCCAGCGTACATGCATCATCCAGCGTACATGCATCATCTAGCGTACATGCATCATCAAGCGTACATGCATCATCCACAGTGCATGTATCATCCACCACAAGTTGTTGTCGCAAGCTGCCATGCCGTGCCATGCCGTGCCGTGCCATGCCATGCCATGCAGTGCCATGCCATGCCATGCCATGCCATGCCATGCCATGCCATGCCATGCCATGCCATGCCATGCCATGCCGTGCCGTGCCGTTCCATGCTGTGCCGCGCAATGCCATGCCATGCCATGCAGTGCCATGCCATGCCATGCCGTGCCATGCCATGCCATGACATGCCATGCCGTGCCGTGCCATGCCGTGCCATGCCATGCCATGCCGTGCCATGCCATGCCGTGCCGTGCCATGCCGTGCCATGCCATCCCGTGCCATGCCATGCCATGCCGTGCCGTGCCATGCCATGCCATGCCATACCGTGCCGTGCCCTGCCGTGTCATGCCGTGCCGTGCCGTGCCATGCCATGCCATGCCATGCCATGCCCTGCCGTGCCATGCCATGCTGTGCCGTGCCGTGCCGTTCCATGCTGTGCCATGCCATGCCATGCCATGCCATGCCATGCCATGCCATGCCATGCCATGCCATGCCATGCCATGCCATGCCAAGCCACGCCACGCTAGCCCCCACCGTGGAGCGAGCAGCGAGCATGGTGTGCAGGTACTGGTTGCGCCCCACGCCCAGCACCCTCACTATGTCCGCCGCTGTGATGTTCGGCAGACTGTCATACGACCGCTCTGGGGGGGTCCACAGGGCCACAGGGACGAGGAGAAGAGAGGGGGGTTGCAGTGGGACAGAGCCACACGAGGATAGTGATACATTTGAGACAAGACACGGATGGGAAGGGAGGGTGTGCAGGGGAAGGTAAGAATGAGGAGGGCGGTACGAGAAGAATTACGATGTTTCATGCGCTGCTGTGCGATGGCATGTACGCATTGGCACGGCATGATGAATGCTATGCCATGGTAAACACAGTATGATACTGTATATACAATGGGGGACACCGTACAATCGCTGAAAGGATGAGTGAAACCCGCAAGGACCTTGGGTCATTCTTTAGTCGACTCAAACCCGCAAGGACCTTGGGTCATTGACAGCATATTCCTTCCCTAATTCATTCTCAAGGCGCGTTCAATGTCGGCCCTGGCACGTGGCCTGGTCAGCACTCACCCTGACCCACCGTCTACCGTGGCGTGCGGGCAGTGCGCTCACCCTGTGCCATGGCGTGCGGGCAGTGCGCTCACCCTGTGCCATGGCGTGCGGGCAGTGCGCTCACCCTGTGCCATGGCGTCTACGAGCATGTCGCGGTAGAAGCGGAAGGGCGAGATGCGCAGCACACCGCAGATGTACGCACTCAGATGGTACGGGAACACCTGCACGCCCACGGAAGGGACGGCGTGGAAGGGGGGGGAGAGGGGGGGAAGGGGGGGGAAGAGGGGGGGAAGAGGGGGGGAAGGGGTGGGGGGGGGCGGGGGTGGGGGGTTAGTCTGTACTGGGGTAGTGGGTTGACTTGAACAGCCGTGGACATGCATTTCACATGCATTAGAGCATACGAGCGAATAAGTCCACAGGGAGGTGTACGGGATGGGGGGCGCTAGAACGGAGCATGCGCACCATAGGATGGCGGAGCATGCCAGAGAACAGACAACCCAAACCAAAGGCGGGCCAGGCAAGGTGCGAGCGAGGAGAGGCAAGGTGCGGGCAAGATGACACAGGGCACAACAGGACTAGAAACGGCAGTGACGTGACGAGCCTTGCATGATACGAGTCACTGGTTGAGGACGGACCGCAGGGGGGTGCGGGGGGAGGGGAAGTGGGGGGTGGGTGGGGGAAAGGGAAGGAGGAGGTGGAGGGGGGGATGGGGGGGAGCGGGGGAAGGGGGAGGAGAGGGAGGAGGGGGGGGAGAGGGGGAGTGCGGGAATGGGCTTATGGGAGACGAGAGAAATGCAGGACAAGGGAGGGCATAAGGACGCAATGACTGGGACTTGCGTGACGTGCGAGGGGGAGAAAGACAGAGAGAGGGGGAGTCACAAACGGGAGCTCGAGTGAGGGAGGTGGGTGGGGCTCAAAGGGAAAACGCAGAAGCAACAAGGGAGGAGAGGAGCAAGGGAGAAGCAGAGGGCAGGAGCAGGTGGGCGGGTGGCACAAGGGAGAGTTGGCGGGGTGGAGGTGGAGGTGAGGAGAGGAGAGGTGACGTACGTCCTGGTTGTGGTGCAGGATGGAGAGGAGGTCGAGGTAGTAGTCGTGCTCGCTGCACATGGGCCCCAGCAGCTGTGCGTGCCACGGGCGCTGCATGCGCAGCGACTCCGCCATGGCTCTGACGACCGTCACGGGGGGGGGGGTTGGGTGGGATGAGCGGGAGAGGGACGGGGGTTGAGAGGGGGGAGGAGAGGGGGAGGGGGAAGGGGGGAGGAGGGGGGAAAGGGAGGGTGGGATGGTGGTTTTGCGGATGGGCGGGAGGGGATGCATTGAAGGGAGGTGGCGTATGGATGGAGATGCGTGTAAGCAAAGCACATGGCACGGCAGAGTGATTGCCCCTCTCTTCCCCCTCCTCCCGCTCACCTCTCACTACTGTCATACATCATCTCCTCTCATTCTCCCTTTCCTCTTTTCCCTCCCCTTTTTCCCCCTCCCTCCCCTCCCCTCCCCTCCGCTCCCTCCCATCCCTCCTCTCCCCCTTCTGCCCACACCCCAGCTTCACCCTGCTTGCATCGCGCATTCCGCCCCCCATGCGAGCGCGGCACCACACTCATTGCTGCAGACAGACCCATGCACGCACGTACCCACCTCGCACGCACCACAATGAGAACTCCCTTTCGTGTATTCTCAAAGCAGCTGCTGCATGCATGGATCGCACCGGAATGACTCTCCAGACATCCCAGGAGAAATAAACCTGCCTTTCTTGCTGCAGATACTACAGCGCGTTTTTTTTTCCTCCTCCCCTGCAAGCCGCCGCACTCACCGCTGCAGGTACAGCTGCATCGACCCCAGCGCGTTGCGCGCGCGCTGCGGCAGCTGGTGCCACGGCACGCGCGCCTCGATCGCGCGCTCGATCGCCGCCTGCTCCGCCGACCGCGCGGACGCCGCTGCTGCCGCTGACGCGCCTCCCCCGCCCGCCGCTGCCGGCGACGACGCCATGCCGCCTTGTCCGTCCTGCACTCCCACTCGCCCAGTCACGCGCCCACTTGCGCGCCCACTCACGGGCCCACTCTCACACGCCCGTTTGTGCGCCCACTTGCGCGCACTACTGTCCGACGGCCTTCGCACTTCCAATGCTGCTTCTTCCCCCCCACCCTCCCCCCGCACACCTCCTCTCGCCCTCCTGTTTCGGCTCGCGTCACAAGTATGCGTGCAGTCGTCCACGTGTATCGGAGCTGCTTGTGAGCGTTCTCAAAAGCAACCGTGGCCCACGCGTCCACGTCGCTATGATGAATCCGCGTCCCTATGCCTCTGCTCGCGGAAACACGACCTCGCGGCGAGCTGTTGGCACTCTTCGCAAGCCACCTCACATCAAGAGAGCGAGAGGTCCACACAATGCGCCCATCTCGTGCCTGCCCTCTGTATCTTGTGCGATTCCCACTGCGCTTCCCACTGCGCTTCCTAGTGCGCTCGCCACTCGCCGCCGCGGCGCCTAATTTTCCTCGAACCCCGCTCTCGCCGCCGCTCGGCCGCAATGCGCGCTGTTCCCGGGGGGTGCGCTGCGCGACATTTCCGCGCGCCGGGAGCAAGCGTCGCGCTGACAACGGGTGACTTGCGTGCGACACACGCGGATGGCGCGCTGAATCCACGCAATGGGTACCACGTGGGCTTACTGGCTGTGGCGAGGAGTCTGGGGCGGGGAAAAGGGCGGGCAAATCAAGGATGAACGAATGGCTAACCAATGGCGAACGCGTAGCGAACGAATGGCGAAAGAATGGCGAACTACCACCACCTGCTTCGATGTCCGGAACGTCCCAGTCAACAATTGGGTGAGCGACGAAGGTGAGGGAGAGAGCGAGACGTGCGTGGGTGGCAGGGCAGGCAGGGGAGGGACGATAGGGGCGCGAGGGAGGGAGCGAGCAGGGAAGGGAGCGATGGTGAAAGGACAGAAGGGACGAAATTTGTTGCTGCACGAGCAGCAAGGCGAACGTGGGGCGATGGAATCAGGTGTCCAGGCAGCGTCAGGTGGTGCAACAACACATCACTGGCTGTCGCACGATTTCGCTGCTGCTTTGTTACTGGCCCTGGTTACAACAGATGTTTCGCTTCTGCACTCTTGTAAATATAAATTTCGAATTCCTTACTGAGCACCCGCCTATCACGTACACCACTCAACAAATCTTCGCCCGTTACTGATTAACGGTGTTCGCTGTTGCGATCAGAAGTTGATCGTGCCTAGGATCACCTCAGGAAGGTTCGCACACGACTGAGTAGTGGTGGTGGGCCCTTGACCTCAATAGCAGAGTGAATATAAAATGCTTGAGATGAATTAAAACATGCAAGTACAAGGGTATAAATAAGAGTACAGGAGGGAATACGAATCGACCTAGCTAGCCATGTACTCTACGGGGTACGTTCCCTTATTGCAGCGAAACCCAACCGTGCGACTCTAGACGGTTACAAACTGCCTGGGCAGAATCCTCGCCACTGCTGCTGCCTGATGCTGTCTGCCCAACGGTCCAGATGCCTTCGTAACCGTACGACCCTTCGCGTCACTTCCGTCCTTTCGTCTTCATTCTCGGTAGTGCGTGCTTCGATTGCTGCGGTAAGGAGTGCACAGTGATGCTTCAATAATTACTATTCGTAACATTCGCCACTTCATATGTCCCTTTTACCAAACCTTGCACTGTTGTACAGTCCCCCCCCAGATATAAGCACACGCTTATGATAATCGCATGCAGTTCTAATTGGCATGTGATGCTTATATCCGGTCCTCGATTATAAGCGCACCCCCTAAAAAAAACATGATTTACTATAAGAACATGTCAAATTCTAATATGAAAACCAATCAAATTACTGAAACGAATTTCACCTTAGCTGTCCAATTATTTATATATTAGTTGGATATGCTTGGCTATAGTGAGGTGCATAGTATGTTGACGGGAGTCGGCTCCGCCCTCGCTTGGGCGAAGCCACTTCGTGGTCGGGTGCGCGGGAGGTGCAGCCGACTTGGGCGAGCAGGTCGGCGAAGTCGGTCGACATGCGGGGATCGTTGCGAAGCCGTCGACGAGGGAGGTCGGCGGCCGATTTCGACCTGGGTGGTCGACGAAGGAGTGGTCGACCTATGGGGACGCCGACGTAGAAAAGTCAGCGGACGGTGTCTACCAGGGCGCTCGACGAGCATGTGCAACAGTTGGCAGGCTCCTACTGCCCGCCAGAGCGTCGCCGACTTCGGAGCCGGTCGACCAAATGACCTGGTTGACGGAAGTGGTGGTCGAGCAGGTCCTGCTCGATGGGACCTGGTCGACGAGCCCGTCGAGAGGTGTTGCTCGACGGAGCAGCGTCGAAGTGGTCGACCGAAGTTGCTCAGCTGCGAAACTTCGCATGCGTGCGAGTTCGCCTCGGAGACATTGGCGAATTCGGCCTACTGGCTGGTATCTCGAGGTCCACATGGAGCATCTGGCGCGATCGTCGGCACGTGGCCGACTCGGCATCTACGCGACCGGCGGGACAAGTCATAACGTGCTCGATCGCCTACAAGCACCTGCGAAGCGGGTGCGAGAGTGCGCTATTGTCATCTGTGTCAGAAGTGTGAACAGCGGAATGAGAATGACTAGCAGCAATGAGATACAAGTGGTACACCCTAATTGGGTGTTAGAATGTAGAACTGAACGAGAATGAATGAACTAGGCAGCAGGGTGATACAAGTAGGAAACCCTAGCAATGTTGTACCCCCTAAGGCTAAACCACTATAGCCTACACAATATAAACATGTATAATGTTTGACACACCCCCATAGGCGAAGTGGGGGACAACCAGATGGTCACAAGACCAGTCAAAGCAAAGCAAAGCAAAGCAAGCTCAGGGTGGATCTCAAGGAGACCACACAAATTCCGAGCACAAGCAAGCGGTCACAAGACCAGTTCACATGCAGTTTGATAAAAACAAGAGGTACAGTGATCACAACCTAGCAAGTGTAAGCATGCATGTATATATATAGAGATCACAGTACAAGCAGGGTCAAGAAGTAAGCAAGTGAGGCACAGTGGGCACAAGGCCGAGAACAGTACAGAAACGCTGATGATCACAAGGCTGAAGCGCCTTGGTGAACACATCAGCAGTGTTGGCCCGAGTGGCCACGTAAGCAAGACGAAGCTGACCACGCTGCTGCAACTCTCGAGCAAGGAAGTAGCGCAGAGCGATGTGCTTCGTTCTGTGCTCCAGTCTGTGCTCCTGACACAAGGCAATCATGGCCGCCTTGTTGTCGACGTACAGCACTGGAGGAGAACGAGGCCGCTCTCCCAGGTCGGTCAGCAGGTAGGTGAGCCAGCGTAACTCCTGTGCAGCCATGGCTGTGGCGTAGATCTCAGCCTCACAACTGGAGCTGAGAACTGAAGACGAGCGTGTAGAACGCCAAGAAACTGAACCAGAGCCAAGGCTGAAGGTGTAACCCTGAGACGACCGCTGCGTAGCCTGGTCGTCAACCCAAGAAGCGTCTGAGTGCCCAGTGAGGACAGCGTCGCTCCGTCCTCCAAGCACAAGCCCCATGCCCGACGTACTGCACAAGTAGCGCAACACCCTCTTAGCGGCATCCATGTGCTCCTTCCGGTGACGGCCAGGAGCGACATAGCGTGCTAGGATGCTAAGAGGGTATGCAAGGTCAGGTCGAGTGCAGGTCATCAGGTACATGAGGCAGCCCACAAGCTCTGGATACGGGCCACTCGGCTCTACGGACTCATCCGAAGGCAGAGCTGAGAGCGAGTGACCGGTAGGCAGAGGAGTGGACTGAGGCGAGGAGTACGTGAAGCGGAAGCGCTGAAGGACCTGTTGCACCATGTGTGACTGAGTCAAGGTGATGGTGCGCTGTGCTCTGTCCCGGGTGATCCGCAAGCCAAGATAGCTTGTCAGCTCACCCAGGTATGTGCACGTGTGTCTCTTCTGCAGCTCCGACTTCACGTGGGCGAGTGCCTCAGTGTTAGCAGTAGCAAAGACCAAGTCGTCTACGTACACGAGAACGTAGTACGGCGGCAGAGTGGTGTCGGTGCGTAGAAACAGCGACGGGTCAGCAGTAGAAGGAGCAAACCCAAGAGCAGCAAGAGTAGTCCTCAGTGTGTCGTGCCACTCACGGGGTGCCTGGCGGAGACCGTAGACTGGCCGCCGGAGGCTCCACTGGGTACCAGCAGGGAACGACCCAGTGAAGCCAGGTGGGCGGCGCAGCCAGATCTCCTCGTGCAGGCTGCCCTGTAGGAAAGCAGTGCTGAAGTCAAGAGAGTGGAGCTCGTAGTCACGCTGAGCGGCGACGTGCAGCAGAACCCGAAGAGTGGTCATCT